GGTGGAGCGGCGGACTTCGCCCAGGTGGGTTAGCGCCGCCTCCGGTCTGTCCACGTTGATCGGTAGGTGGCCTTGGGCTGGGTGTCTGCACCTCGAGTCGGGGTCAACCGTCGCTATGGTTGCGGCAGTTGTCGCCGCGGTGACGGCTGGCGGGAGCGGGCTCCTTTCCCGGAAGCCGCTCTGCCTGGTTAGCGGTCCCTCGTGGTTTTGTGGCCCGGTTTCCCCGTCGCCTGTGCTTTAAGACGAAACAGTCGTGTGCGTAGACCGAAGCTCCGCTGTCTTCTGTAAAAATGACTGTGAATAGCCTTCTGGTTCCGCCGGAGCCCGGGGAGGCTTGAGGGAGGGAAGCCACGCAGGACGGACGTCCGAGGTGGGAGAGCGGGCGCTGGTACCCGCTCTGCTGGCTTCCGCGGCTCCCGGGTCGGAGGAGGAACCCCTTCCCCGGGTAAAGTCGGTGCCGCCGGGGCGCTTTGCAACCTTTGGCAGAAGTCGGGGCAATTGAACACTTGCTGAAAGAGGCACTGACTGGTCATACGTGATAACATCTTTATCAAGAAGGAAAGGTGTCATTGTAAGGTCTACTAAAAACTGTGGCCTGTAACGTTCCCGGTAAAGGGTTTATGGTTTTGCTAAGCGAGCCCTGGCCATTGTGTATGTGTATGTATGTGTATTTAACACACTTTTAAAATGCTTTTCAGGCCCTCGGAAGCTTAAGGACCTTCGAGGGGCCACATTATCCTATTAACTATCCTGAAACCCAATCATAGGTATTTTCCTCGTCCCCCTCCCCCCTCCACCCCCGCTTTGCTTTCTCCCCCCTCAATGTCCTGGTGCTCACATTCCCTCCTTAATTCCAAAGGTATAAAAGGGACTGCAAAACTGTCATTACATGGGGGGAAAAAAGGAGACATATGTAATACTCTTTGTAATACTTTAAGCAATAAAACAAATTTTTAAAAAAAAATTGTTATGAGAAGAAAAACATACTGTCATTGCCCTGAGCAATGTTGAGATCTCGCTGCCATCAGTTTGGCTCAGATAAACTCTAATATGCTCTTGTACAACTTTTCTACAGGTTTGGACATTCTTATGTTGATCCTGGTAGCTTTGGTGTTTTTTTTTTTAATAAACAAGTGAACCATACAGATTGTCAACATGGGACGAAGATCCACATCATCCACCAAGAGTGGAAAGTTTATGAATCCCACAGACCAAGCCCGTAAGTATCCGTTAATGAGGATGTTGAAGAGAAGCGGTAGAAATTGTAAGCATTAGGGAATCTATTTCATGATGTCCTAATTACGAGATCAGCAGTGCTAGGAGTCAGTTGTGTGAAGTTATCCAGTGTTCTTGTGGGCACATGATTAACACTTCAAACATACAAAAAAAATTCACACCCCTATTTCTAATTTGATTGAATTGCACAGTAAAATTAGCTTAAAGCGGTGGTTCTCAGCCTTCTTAATGCCGCAACCCTTTAATACAGTTCCTCATGTTGTGGTGACCCCCAACCATAAGATTATTTTTTGTTGCTACTTCATAACTGTAATTTTGCTACTGTTATGAATCGTAAAGGCGACCCCTGTGAAAGGGTCGTTCAACCCCCAA